GTGATGGCAGTGTGGCATCTATTAGGAGTTTTGCTGCTTGATTCGAATGCTGCAAAAATTGTATTCCTGAGTGATCTGGAAGGCCACCCCAGGACTACCAGGTAATGCTGTCATACCCATTAGTTGCAAGATGTTTCAGTGAAAGAGATTAATTTCTTCTGCTCCGCTGCAGCATAAAATGAACCATCTCCTGTAGACAGATTAGAAGGTTTTTTAGGCTTTTGATTTATGATTCTTCTGTGAAAAAAAATATATCTTTTTTTTCATATCTGCTGAAAGGGAAATGTCCAGCTGGCATCTCTCTGACTCCCCCATCAATAAACTTTGGAGGAATATAGATGGAGCCTCCCAAAACCTTCTCAATGACCAAGACAAGATACCTGTAATAGGGTGTCTGAAGCCAGGCATAAAAAAGCAGCTTTTCTATCTTCATCTGTATTTCTATAGGAAAATACCTGCTATGTGCTAATATGGAGGAATTAATCTTGAGGAACAAAGTCAGGTATCAGGACAGGTTCTCCAGATGGTCAGAGTGGTGTTCTTGAAACTTCTGTTTCCTTAACTAGAAGCTGCTTCATAGCCAGAATTTTAATTCCTCCTGGAAACCATGCTATAATCCCATGGACACATGGACAGAGGGTGCCGAGACTAAAAGAGAAGTTGTTCTAGCAACAAAGCATCAGTAAAGATTATTGCCTATGAAAGAGCTTTATAAACCTGGTTTTATGTCAGCCAGGAGAGAAAAGAGCCAGGCTGTTTGCTGATGAGCTTTTTGAGTTTGGGTTTTTTTTCATGCCTTTTTGATAAGTCTGAGACAGACACCTCCAGAGCAGAGCCAAAAGACAGGCGAAAAAACATGCATATAATTTGTGTTTCAGACCACTGTGTACATGACAGTCTAAACTAAAGATCCTACAAGAGGTTGCTTTTGTTCTCCTTCATATCAAAATGGTACTCTGTAGAGCTGCCCTTTCTTTCTTTTAATATCACAGATGCAGTTTCTGAAGAACTTCCTGGGGGATTTAATAAGGTTGTTGCAACCGCCCAACCAGACAAAGCCGTGTCCTCACTTCAACCTGACAGTACAGAGGATTTTCTCTTTGGTGACATCTGTATAATGCATCCCGTGAGTGTGGATTTCTCATAACAGCAGAAAAAAAGAGAGAGCTGTTACTCAGACAAAGCAAAGTTTCAGAAAAACAAGTCATTAGTTTTCAGCTGATAATTCCTTTATCACAGTTATTTCCATGAGACATTGCTATCAAAGGGCACCACCAAGCAAATCACTTTTGTATATAAGGAACCCGAGATCCCTGTATCATTGAGGTATCACTCCTCAAGATCTGCCACCCCTCAGAGAACATTTGATGACATCAGCTTTCCTAGCTCTCCAGATGACAGCAAATTCAGTTCCTTTCATTTTTATTAGGAAATGAGACATTTGAAAGTCTGAAATGTCTTTGATCCCAGCTATTGGATTGCTACAGCCTAATAAAGAGGCAGTGAAAATACCCAGTGAAATAACCAAAATTAACCTTCTCTGTTTAAACAGAGTGGTGCTGTCTGTCTGTAAAGCAGGTATCTGTGTTATTGAAGACATTATAAAATCAGGGAGAACATATTCAGACTGTGTGCTGGCTAAAATAAAAAGCTTCACCAGGTTAAGACACTGGTTAGAGGAAAGGGGTTGCTGCCCCTAAGCTTATTGAAAGAAGAGGACCTTAATATTTGCTGTTTGCTTCTATAAGCTGTGTTTTATTTTGGGACAAAGCAAGCATAACTGAGCTACTCCAAATTCTCTTTTGAAATTTAAGTTGCTCTATGTTGTTGCTGTTGGGGACTTCTGGTAAAAGTAGGATTAATGTTTAATTTACAGTGTGGAGGATTTTTGTGAAGATGAAAGAACTTTTGCTGTAGTGGGCTCTTAGCCGTTAATAGTACTGTTTTAGGGGGTTTTTTTAACTTCAAAAAGCAAACATCAATAAATAAATAAATAAAAACATCTGTTTGAGTGAAAAACATCCCCTGGCTCAAGGAGCTGCAGTGGGCCTGTCAGTGTATTCTCCATCAGCATCTCCAGAGGATGCTAATGGATCTCCACCTGCCATGAGCACCAAGAGAGGCTTCAGGAGCTGCTTTTTATTTTGGGGTGATCCTTGTGTAGAGTGAGGCTGTCTGATACTTGGGCTGATGCTAGAAAGGCTTTTTAGGAGTTTATGGTGGTTGAAATGAGCAGAGGGTTGAAGTAAGGCCTTATTAAACATGATTCACATTGGGTTTTTAGGTGTTTTGCCCTGTTTAAACTTACTACTGGTTGCTGGTAAAATGATGAGCTTTGCCAAGAGCATATCCAGGCAACATCAGGTGGTGAACCCAAACAAGCTTTTCATCCAGTGAGATATTCCTCTGACTTCAAAAATGTGGTTTTTATTGTCCCAGTTTAACTCTTCTCATCAGGAGATGGCTCATAACTGAAACATGTAGAACCAACTAATTTCACACATCCTGTCTCATTCCTTCATCTTTCCTCCTTGCTTTCCATGCACAGATTATTTTTTTAGAAACCCATTCTTGTAATAGTTAGAGTCATAGTTTCTTAATGAAATTCCTTACTTCTGACACACTATAGAAAATAGCAACCCCTTCAGTAGACATCTGCTTGGAATTTTTACATTTAATATTTCTTAGAATAGAGCTATAAATTGCCTTCTACCAGCTTCAATGTGCTAGTCAGTGTAACTCCTGCCTGCTTTGGGCAGCTGTGGGGTTTTGGGTGAGAGTTACATGGAAAGATCCAAAGCAGGGCCAGGAATGGGAGCTACAGGTAGATGTGAGCAACTATGGTTTTCAAAAGAAAAAATGCAGAAGAGAGTGGAGAGATTTAGGAGTTTTCTGAAGGGTCTGGCCCCCAGTGACTGAGTGCAGAGAAGAGAACTAATAGTTACCTGTTGCAAAGAGAAGGAAGTTACCATCCAGGACAAACAGAAAAGCAGAGACAGGGAGAAGGCATGGGAAGGAAAATCAGAGCAAGCTGGTGACCGCAGAATCATGTTATTGAAGGTTTGCAACCTGGGAGCTCACAGTTACAGACACATTTCTCTGAGACTACTGCAGTGGGAGGTGATGCAGACTAAGACGGCTGACAGCTAAACCTGAAAAGATTGGAAATAGCTGTTTTCCTCAGGGATTTGATTAGCCCAGAATAAGTGAACTGAATCAGGGGGCCAGGCCCTCCAGCAGCTGAAGTGCTGAAAGCCTGGAAGGGAAACCTGAGGCAGAATAGCTGTAGCATCACATCACATGGTGATGTACTGCAGATCTGCATCCTGCTAACTTGAACTACTTTTTATTCCTTGGGGAAAGGGCTCATTAGCCCTTTTAATTATTTTCCTATCTGCTAGAACTCCAGATGCTATTATGTTACGTAAAATGACAAATGTATTTTTAACTTGTAAAGCATGTGAACTTTAAGCTCCTTCCAGTGATACGAATACAGCTCCATTTCGATGCATGACTCATCTTCACATGTAGGGAAAAAAGCTCAGCATTTCACATCCCTGGAACCACACTCTGTGCACCAGTGATGAGCGACAGTTGCTGTGGGAACCATCTCTTTTAGTATCCTGAGTGTGCATCCGAGAGTGCCGAGAAACACTGACCGCGTCTTTGGTCGCGTTTAGTGACTGCATTAAGTGAGAGCACCCTTTCGATAGCCAAGCGCTTGAAGGATCACTGCCCGCTATCGCGTCTCCTTGTAGCAGCCTGTTTAACACAGGGTTCGGAGCGAACGTGGCCATTCTCCCCCTCCCCGAGGAGCCATCGGGGGAAGGGCCGGCGGTGCCACCGCGCGGGCGCGCTGCGGTACCAGCCCGGAGCCGCCGCCGCTGCAGCCTCATTTCCCCCCTCTATCAGGGCCGTTTACCCCAATAAATTAATATCGTGCGTTAAATCACCGCCCTAGATCACCTTAAAACCACCGCGGGGGTTGTTCCCCGCTAGGGTTGTTCAGGGGAGCCCGAGCAGTGGAACCTGAACACGAGGCAGCTCCCGCTCCCCGCTCGGGCCCGGCCCAGTCCGGGCCGCTTGTCGAGGCTCGGGCCGGTCCTGCCGCCGGCAGCCCGCGGCGGCTCGGGGCGGGAAGGCGGCGCGCACCTGCCCGGGGCGGCGGGGCGGACCCAGGCAGAGCCCGCCTTCCCCGAGCCGCTCCGGGAAGCCTCGACTGGGGCCGCGCCGCCACAGGCAGGTAATGGAGCTCCGGCGTGGAGCTGCCCCCGCCCGGCTCCCGCCGCCGCCACCCCCCGCTCTCCCGGCTTCGCCTCAGGGCTTTCCCGCCCTCCGCCGCCGCCTCAGCGCGGGGGGCTGAGCGAGCGGCCCCTCTGCTGGTGGTAACGGCGCTGCTGGCACCGGCACCCGCCCCGGGGATCCCCCTCAGGTCCCCAGCGGGACCCTCCCGGCTTTGGGAGCCGCGCCATGGCATCTCCACGGACTGCAGTTCTTGGGAGGTTTGGTGGTCCCTGCCCCTAGCATGGGGTCCCAGGGTTCGGTGCCTGCCCAGGCAGTGCCACTCTGGGGTTCAGTCCAGGTATTCGTGGCTCTCTTGCGCAATTTGGGAGTGTCGGGATGAGGCAGGGGAGCATTGTGAGGATTTCTATATAAAACATTGAGGCAACAAGTGGTTGATGAGGGTTTGTGAGCTCGAAGCTCTGTTCTGTTGTACAGACCTTAGCTGTGGTGTTACTCCAAGACCCAGCAGTTACTCAGTTACTTTTTGTTGCAGTAAAAGCGGTGATTTATACCTGCAGACTGAGAGCTGTGTGTACTGGAAGTGAGGTGACAGGTCTGTAAAGCTCAAGTGTGCTTTCCTGAGGTGACCCTTCACTTCTATTCTCTCTGGCACCTGGTCATCTTGTTAAGAGAAAAGCCGTCAGGTGGGACAATAGTTAGTTGATATCAATTACTAACACTTGTTTACATTTCTACTCAGGACTAAATGGCGAGCAAATGGACTGCTTGAAGCACTGGGTTTGATTGCTTAAGAGAAAGGGCTCTGCCGAAGATACCCGACAGATTCCTGTGGGGTATCTCTGTCATCCCAGACTCTTCCCTGATATGGAACAAAGTGAAGGTGAACAGGAATCCCAGGCAGAGAGTCACGTGGAGAGCAAGAGCAGTGTGGAGAGCAAGAGCAGCGTGAAATCCTTACCTGGGGGAACAGCCCATGTCAAACTAGAGATAAAAAAACATGCAGTTACAGACGACTACAAACTCTCCAAACGTGTGCTAGGGTTAGGAATCAATGGCAAAGTACTGGAGTGTTTCAACAAGCAGACAGGCCAGAAATGTGCTTTGAAGGTAGGTGTGTTTTGTCTTTTTTTTCCCTTATTTATGGTTTGGAGGCCAAAGTTCATTCCCTGTAAAAGCTACTTGTTCTGTGCTTACCTTTCTCAAAGAGCGATGCGTGAAGAATCTGAATATGTGGAAACATTTGCTACCACAACACTGGAGTCCCAGCTTGAGCGTTTTCCAGAATATTCTGTGTAATTTTCAGAATAATGTTATCAGCTGTGAAATTCTCGTGTTCATATTTAAAAGACAAGAAAGCGGGGGAGAGAACCGTGTCTTGGTGTGTTCTTGGAGAAAACTTGTTAGATTTTGAATGAACATATTATGCAATACTCACAAAGGAAACTATTTTGGGTCTTGTGCAGTGAATAGGCCTAAGCTGTGAAATACTTAAATGTTCATTGATCTTCAGTCTTTCCTCTCTATGAAGATTTTTCTTAAGGAGCATTTCTAGTTGTTCATTTATTTTCCTCCTTTATTTTTGTGATCACTTTACCAAAGGATATTTCCTGGGAAAGCACCAGTATGGCAAGTGAGTTTAGTAGATATTTATGGTGCTAAGTACCACTTAAATAAATGGAGCAATAGCCATTCATTGGAGAGCATGAAGCTTACTTGCCTTTTGTTCTGCAGCTTTTAAACTTGAAAATTTCCTTGGTGCTCTTAAACCACTTTATTGGGAAAAAAGCAGCCTAAATGAGAACCAGGATGGTTCAGTACCAGAAGATTAAAAGCAGCTGAAGTAATTGTCATGAGAGCTACTTATAGGTGTTACAGATTCCTTGCTGGTGTTAATCTGGTGGGTCCAGGAAGCTCTCAGGTATCCTTCCTTTCCCTATTCACACTCCGTGTGTGCTGGGAGCAGAGTGGATCTGCCAGGAGTCAGCTGGAGGCTCTGCCAAGGCCTGGAGATGGTCTCTAGCAAACAGAGCTGCTGTCCCCACCAAAGCCTTTGCATTGTGATAGAGAAGCCTGGAAATACCTGGCAGCTTGGAGTACTGGAAAAATAATTTAATAGAGGAGCTAGAAAAGCTTATAATACAATAATTTGCTGATTAATTCACGTGTTTCCAACACTCTGATGTAGTTTGTCACACTCTTTTGTATTAGCTTCACGTAGCTCACTGACAGAAGTTTATCATAGGAAACTGGAGGTTTTGACAACAGACTGCAGGTACTGGGGTTTTGCACCTGCCATGGGGAGTGTCACATCTTTGCATCTCTGAGATGATCCATTAATCAGGTCCTTCTGCAGTGCTAGCAACATTAATCTCTAAAGTTAGCATACTGTGATGAAGGATAATAGTGAATGCTGAAGCTGATCTGCTGTTTCTGAAGAGTTCAGTGGCTTTGTTGCTGGTTAGAGATCATTCACACTTCAAAGGGTTTGCAGTCATGAGGGCTGGAAGCATTTTAAAACAGAAGTTGCCTTTCCAGAAGGCAATCCAGTAGCAACAAGTATGTTCCAGAGCAAATTTTGTAGTTCTGGAATGAAGTAGAAAACATATTCCAATGTTTATTAGCATCTGGAAACTATTTTTTTATTTTAGCCCTCAGAGTTGGGGAGAGGGAGAAGAGAATGGGAATTGCTGTGCCCTGATAGAATGTATTCTGCTTGATGGGTTGGAGGAACCTATTGGTGGAGTCTCTAATACCTGTTTGTGTTTAGCACTGATTGAGTTGGCTGATTTTTTCAGAACTTTTAATATATATTAAGGACCAAAGTTCCACTTCCCCAGTCATTACAGGTCAGCAATAGCTATGGATCACTGACCTTACCCTGTAAATGTGTTTGTCATCCTGTTTCCCATCCAGCTGTGCAATGTGTGCACTTTTTTTCTGAACAGGACAGAAGTATGGCAGCAATATTAAGATGTTTATAAGTTCTCTAGGGAGTTTGAATGGCAGATAATAGTTTGCTGCTTGCATGTGTGCATTTCTCATCATTATGGGTTTAAGTGCTGAATAAAAAGTTAAACATGCAATTAAGTAAAACTGCCAGCAGCCCAGAGAGAATCCACAGCTCTCTGCAAAGATGGTCTAGTGAGAAGATTAGCCAACAAGGAGGAATAAAAACTCTGCTTGGTTAATTTGCAAGAATAGAAACATCTTTTCCCAGCCCTGAAGATATTTGCAAGGATGAACATATTCATAGGAAGTTTTTCCTTTGTTTCTTGTGAAACCTGAACTGGGCCACACAAGTCCCAAACCTGCTCCAGTTGACAGTTCAGAGCAAATCATCCAGTCAAAGCAGTTATGTAAAAGGGACAAGAAGCTTAGGAAAAAATATTCAGAAACAGCTTCACAGCAGAATTCTCTGTGTAGGGACAACAGGGCCTTGCCACTGCTTGTTCTTCTCAGGTGTGATGGCAGGGTTATCATTCACTTACAGGAATAGAAAGTGGAGACTGATGAAGCTGTTACAGAGCAAACCCAACTGGTATGACAGGGAAAGAGAAATGGAAAGACTGAGTTGTAAGTTGAACATGAAAAAAAGGGATGCTGGATGGATTTTTTTCTTGAGGTTGCTTGCACATATCCATTGAGATTTATGTATATTTGTGGACAAATACTTCAGGCATGAGAGTGCTTGCTGTAACCTGCTCCTGGGAAAGGAAGAACATCACTCCTGCTGCTGAAGATAAAGTGTAATAGGCTGTCCCCCTTCAGATCAAACTTGCCCATTAAAGCAGCTCCTGACTGGGCAGATCACACTGCTTTCTGCCTGCAGGTTTTCTTTTAAATGGGAACAGAGCCAGCACAGCCAGGGTCTGGATAGAAATTACTCAATGAAAGGAATTCTAGCAGAGGTACTCAAGAGGAAAGGGCTTGAACAGGAAAAAATATTCATTCCCAGAGCCATACATCAGTCAAACACTCCATTCTGTAATTGGAAGGTCCCTGTTGTTGTTGTTGTTAGTCTGTATCCATAATTGGAACAGGTTAGAATTTCATTAATCATTTTGGAGTGGGAAAACACAAGACATCCTTTTGGAGATAGTGCAGGCTTTTGGTTATTTTCCTAAAATACTGTGTGGCTTAGTTTACTCGGCTTGGCATTGTGATTCGCTGCCCAGTTTACAATGTGCTGTCAGCTTTGTTTCTGTTGAATTGAAATGCCACAGGCATTGCTGTCCTGCTCCAGAAAATCTCATCTGGTTTCTCACTTAGACACATAATGACATTTTGGCTGAACAGCACTGTTTCCAAATAGTGAGAACACGAGGATTTAGAAAAGTAGAAGCATAAACAAAACTGCTGTGCAGGACTGTGGCCTTCTAGAAGGCAGCTATGTTTTAGTCTCTGCCTCCCTTACAAATAGAAAAGCTTCTCAGATCTCTTTCCATAGTTGATCCAGAAATAGCTGTCAAGTGAAGTCTAGTCACTCTTCTATTTTTATCTCCTCTCTGCCGGCCTGCCCCCTTCTGTTCACTTTACCTTTTGGGGCTTTAGGGCAGGTTTAACCTCCACTTCTGTAACACTGACATCTGGCCCAGTGTTCTCTGCTGGTGTTTGCATTCCTCACCCTTTTTAGGGAGAGGAGGAAACCAAAATAGCTGGTTACCTGTGAGGATAAGTGTGAAATCCTGGGACTTGCCTTCCATGAAAAAAAACCCCAACCTAAAGCTCCTTGTTCTTTCTTTCCTTCTCCCTCATTTCTTTTTTGGCACAAATTCCTGCTAAGTGGTGTCAAAATAATACCTCAATGTATTTGATGGTCTTCTTTATTTTTGTGGAAGATGGCAGGAAGGGCTCAGAGCTGGAATTAAGAAATAATAAGAATAGAGAGAACAGAGAGGTAGAGAGCCTCCTGCAGGGTATTGGGGCTTCTCTGCATCTGCACCTTCAGGATTTTGGTGGATGTTTCAGGATATAAAAACAGTGTTAAACATCATTGCCATACTGTTTATCTTCAGTAAACAGATGGTGCTTCTTTCCAGAAGAAAAGGAAGGACAATTCAGGCATAGCCACAAAACAAAGACCCTTGGAACTTCAGGAAAGCTGAGTACCTTGGTTATGGGAGCATTGGCACTTTGGGGATGAGTAACTCCTGAGCAGCAGTGGTAAAATGCTTCTCCCCTGAGCACTGGGCACATGTACTGTGTACTGCAGATCCTCCAGCCACCCCACACGTCCAGGCTCAGGTGGAGGGTGTATGAATGGACCTGATACTTTATGGAAGTGTTTAGGTTGGGCAAAAGCCTTAAAGATCAAGTCCAGCCATTAACCCAGCACTTCCAAGCCCATCACTGAACCATGTCCCCAAGTACCACATCTACACACAGACCTTATCCTCTGGAATAAAAAGTGAGTTAAGGCATCCCCTGCCTCATGGAAAATGTGTTGTGCTGCTGAGTGCCAGCAGAAAAGTGACTGTAACTTGCTGATTTGAAGACAAATAGACATAGCCCAAATGTTAAATAAAGCAAAAAGCAAACACAAAATTGAACACCCTCCTTGCCTTTTAGGTTTGAAGAATATTTAGTGAACGATAGAAATTATAATTGTAGAGTAGGAGTCTCTGCTGCTATGCATAAGAGTGTTAGCATAACTTTCTTCTCAGAAGGAAATAAAACAGGTAATGGAGAAAAAAATTTTGCAAAATAAGTCCTTCCCAAAATTATTCTTGGGATCTGCACATAGGACTATCTAGAGAATGTTGTTCTGCTTTCCATAGGTGAGTTGCTGTGGACAGACAGGCATTCTGCCTCAGTTTCATTTAGTCTTGAGCTATGCTTGTTTCTCCCACTCAATTTTAATGTTTCTGATTACGTTAAATAGTTCTGCAAAAGCTATTATTGGGATAGTCTGTTTCCAGTTAGTTTACCCTGAAGCTAGGTCATGATTGCTTACAAACAGGAGGCTGTACAGTCCAAAGTATTTGTTTTGCAAATTATCTAAATAGCTGGTGCTTGTAAAATCCCCTGCTTGCTGCCTGAAGTAAGATGATGACCAAAGAAAATGATGCAGCAGTGGAGAAAGCACTGCACACAGTGAAAGTGAAGGT